GGCTGCCCAGGGAAGTGGTGGAGTCCCCATCCCTGGAGGTATTTAAAAAACGTGTAGATGTGGCACTTAGGGACGTGGTTTAGTGGTGTACTCAGCAGTGTTAGGTTTACAGTTGGACTCGATGACCTTAGAGGCCTTTTCCAACCTAAATGATTCTATGATTCTGCATTCTTCATCTTGGCATAATGAGAAATAACTCCTACCATGTCAGTTATATGTAAGTCACCAAAGGAACAATGAATATAAAATTAACAGTATATTCAAAAAAATAAGTTAGAAATAAATAGGACCACAGATAATTTCCCAGTTAAATAATTTAGTAAAAGAAAATGTATAACGAACCAGTAACACTTACAGAACTTCCCCCAGAACAATCACATCCACCCTGTAAAGAATGCAGAAAATATTTAAGATATCAGGAGCACACGACTGAAAGGGACTCCAGTTACAACTCAAATTACTTCTACCATCGCAGGTATGCAAGTCGTAAAGTTACATTCATACTTGCCCAGGTATGGAAGCCATAAAGTTACATTCATACCTGCCCAAGTGCCCAACTTCTAGAAATTAGTCTATTTTTTGTTCTCTTCATCCTATGCAACTATTCCTGCACTTACTGCTCTGATGGGGCAAAAAGCTTCTAATTTTGTTATCTTCAAATTTGTTATCTATAATCTTTACCTTAAAAACCTTACTCACCAAAAGGACCAGTAAAAAATTCTGAGTGGTACTACAGAAAGCAATTATTTTTTTTTCCTAGAGAGGCCAGAGCACCTGGAATACATGCAGTACTCTTTCATGCTACAGATGTTACAGAAAATAGGTGATTTTTACTCTGATAAAACTAACTGAGAGGTGGCCAGGGTTCACCCGGCCACCTGGTGGCCTGACATACCAGACAGACCCATCCTTAGCAATCCTCAGTTTGGCTTAAAGTTATTCTTTCTTAGAATGTTCCTTTTTTGCAAAAACTACAGGTCAGTTTTCCTAATGAACTGTGTACCAAAACTGCAAATACTATGAAAGAAGAAGTTTTACCTGTCCACTATACTGGCTGCTTCCTGAAGAAGCTATACCCTAAAGAAATGAGAAAGCCATTTATATTTGTTGCATATTCTTTAACTTTCAATCTGCATGAAATGTGTAAGAAAAACGTTTAGCACCAAAGCAGGTACAGAAGCTCAAGTACAACTGCCATTCAGACAGCTACTACTGGCTACTCTGGCCTGTGGGATGTCTGAATGACAACACAGAAAAAGATAACGTGTTGCTGAGGCTTTGGGCAAAAAAAAGATAGTTGCTGAGGCTTTGGGCAAAAAGGACAGTGGCGAAGGAAAACAGTTCTTTCTTAGGAGACACGCAATGGAAATTGTGAGTGCCTGACACTAGCACAACTGAACGGTGTGGAGAAAGAAAAGCATACCTGTCCACCAGACTGGCTGCCGCCTGGAGAAAAG